TTGAATGGTTTCTGCAGCTGAAAATAGGCTGAAGGAGTTAAATATCAGATGTAAGTAGTAGTGAATGAATTTGCATTAAGATGAGAAAAGAAAGTAAAAAGGCTTGGGAAAGCAGCGGAATATTTGAACTGCAGACTTTTGAACTAACTTGATGGTGAAGTATCTGTCGCCATGGCAACGGCATTTGATGACACCCCATAATACGCTTAGTTGTGTTGATGGCTGCATCGTTACCAAACCTGTGAAGTTTTGGGCCATTTCGATCATTTTCACTGAAGTTATGAGAAAACCGTGTTTCATGGTGAGCATTGTGTTGCCATGGCAACGGCATTTGAAGAAATCTCAAAACTGTCCAGTAGATGTCTTCACGGCTGGATTGTTAGCACACATGTGAAGTTTGAGCACTTTTTGAACATTTTCATAGGAGTAATACATTACATTAGGAGGTTACATTACTCTCTCTCTTCTCTTGATCACCCTCTCAATCTTCTATCGCCCTCTCTCTCTTCTCTCTCTCTTCTCTTGCTCGCCCTCTCTCTCTTCTCTTGATCGCCCTCTCTCTTCTCTTTCTCGCCCTCTCTCTATCCTCTTGATCGCCGTCTCTCTCTCCTCTTGATCGCCCTCTCTCTCTTCTCTTGATCGCCCCTCTTTCTCTTCTCTTGCTCGCCCTCTCTCTCTCCTCTTGATCGCGCTCTCTCTCTCTTCTCTCTCTCTTCTCTCTCTCTCCTCTTGATCGCCCTCTCTCTCTCTTCTCTTGATCGCCCTCTCTCTCCTCTTGATCGCCCTCTCTCTCTCCTCTTGATCGCCCTCTCTCTCTCCTCTTGATCGCCCACTCTCTCTTCCTCTTGATCGCCCTCTCTCTCTTCTCTTGATCGCCCTCTCTCTCTCCTCTTGATCGCCCACTCTCTCTCCTCTTGATCGCCCCTCTCTCTCTCTTCTTGATCGCCCTCTCTCTCTCCTCTTGATCGCCCTCTCTCTCTCTTCTCTTGATCGCCCTCTCTCTCTCCTCTTGATCGCCCTCTCTCTCTCCTCTTGATCGCCCTCTCTCTCCTCTTGATCGCCCTCTCTCTCTCCTCTTGATCGCCCCTCTCTCTCTCTTCTCTTGATCGCCCTCTCTCTCTCCTCTTGATCGCCCTCTCTCTTCTCTTGATCACCCTATCACTCTTCTATCACCCTCTCTCACTTCTCTTGATCGCCCTCTCTTCTCTTGATGTGTCTGTGAGAGAGAGGGAGAGAGTGTGTGTGTGTGTGTGTGTGTGTGTGTGTGTGTGAGAGTGAGAGAGAGAGAGTGTGTCTGTCTGTCTGAGAGAGAGAGAGAGTGTGAGTGTGAGTGTGAGAGAGAGAGAGTGTGTGTCTGTCTGTGAGAGAGAGAGAGAGAGAGAGAGAGAGAGAGAGAGATGTTACAGCTCAAATGCATTGCAATGACTTCCATGTTAAAAAAAAGACTTTAAAAAGCTGAATGTTTTAAAAAGTATAACATATTTTGAAAAAGTTGAAAGTGTCCCATCATGTGCTGAAAAGGCTGAATAGTTTGATATTTGAATGGTTCCTGCAGCTGAAATTAGGCTCAAGGAATTAAATAAAGATATTAAATGTAAGTAGTAGTGAATGAATGTTTACAAACACCTGTGTGTGTAAACCCAGAGATGAAAGGTTACCATGGTGACGACTTATGACGATTTCCCAACTGCAGCACTGAGTGCCATTAAGAATGCATTGAGGTTTGTATCTGACAATTTTGCCACCTGTTAAAAAACTATGGCTCCTATCAAAAAATTACCAGACCGTGAGCATCAGGGAACCCCAATGAACTGATATATGTTGTTTTTTTTGGTTTTGTGTGTAAAATGTGGAGATGGGAGCAGTTTGTCTAAAGTGTACTTCTCTCTGTTCTGAAGAAAGTTCCGGAAAGATTTAACATGGGAATCAATTGGGAGCTAGCTGGACTTTTTGTCTTTTCATGCCCGCAAGAGGCATTTTGTTTAATATTTCTTCTTAATTTTTTTTAATTTTCCAACCTAGGAGAGGTTTTCCTACGTTTTTCATGAAAAAATATGTCTGAGTGTAGGGTTTGGGAATTATGGCAAGTTTAAAACATTTTTGGGGGAGCACTGCTGCACTCTGTTTTGAGATCAAAGCACTCTAGACTTAACGAGCTGCTCCATCCACACTAATGTTAAAATCTGAAGAAAGCCTCTTTACCAAGCTCCAAACAAAGTTAAATATCGCAAGAAGTGTAAAAGATATGAAGAATCTGAATAACAAGTTTTATAGCTGAAAGTATTGTGATCATTTGAAAGTTAGAATGAAGTGTCTAGCTGAAATTATCAGGAAGGAGAAGCATTTGGCGCAAAGTGTAGGAAAAGAGGATTTGAAGGCATCTCCCATTGACTTCAATGTTAAAAAAAAGAGTTTAAAAAGCTGAATATTTCTAAAAGTATAAAATATTTTTTAAAAGTTGAAGGTTTCCCATCGATTCCTGAACAGGCTGAATAGTTTGATATTTGAATGGTTTCTGTAGCTGAAAGTAAGCTGAGGTTATGGAGAGCCAAAGTATGGTTGAAATAATAATAAGTTTAAGGGGAAGAACTAGAAAATGCATTTCCTGCAGAAAATGCGTGCGAATGCTGTAAACTGTGAACATTTGTGGCTGAATTTAGCTGAAAATGCAGAAAAAGCTGAATATGTTATTAGCTGAATGGCAGCTGCTTTTAGCTACAAAAATGCAGAAAAAGCTTAATATTTAAAAGAAAAGGTTTAAAAAAACATGTATAGCCTTGATGTAATGAAATAGCTGAATAATGTAATAGTTGAATGGTTTCTGCAGCTGAAAATAGGCTGAAGGAGTTAAATATCATATGTAAGTAGTAGTGAATGAATTTGTATTAAGATGAGAAAAGAAAGTAAAAAGGCTTGGGAAAGCAGCAGAATATTTGAACTGCAAACTTTTGAACTAACTTTGGTGAATTATCTGTCGCCATGGTAACGGCATTTGATGACACCCCATAATACGCTTAGATGTGTTGATGGCTGCATCGTTACCAAACCTGTGAAGTTTTGGGCCATTTCGATCATTTTCACTGAAGTTATGAGAAAACCGTGTTTCATGGTGAGCATTGTGTTGCCATGGCAACAGCATTTGAAGAAATCTCAAAACTGTCCCGTAGATGTCTTCACGGCTGGACTGTTAGCACACATGTGAAGTTTCAGCACTTTTTGAACATTTTCATAGGAGTAATACATTACATTAGGAGGTTACATTACTCTCTCTTCTCTTGATCACCCTCTCAATCTTCTGTAGCTGAAAATAAGCTGAAGTTATGGAGAGCCAAAATATTGGTGAAATAATAATAAGGGGAAGAATAAAGAAATTGAAGTACTATAGTGGAATGCTGTAAACAGCATTCGCACTAATAAAGAATTGAAGTACTATAGTGGAATGCTGTGGCACAGCATTCGCACTAATTGAAGTACTATAGTGGAATGCTGTGGCACAGCATTCACACTAATAATATGTTTAAGGGGAAGAATAAAGAAATTGAAGTACTATAGTGGAATGCTGTGGCACAGCATTCGCACTAATAAAGATTCGAAGAACTGTAGTGGAATGCTGTAAACGGCATTCGCACTAATAAAGAAAATCGAATAACTATAGTGGAATCCTGTGGCACAGCATTCGCACTAATAAAGATTCAAAGAACTATAGTGGAATGCTGTAAACAGCATTCGCTCTAATAAGTGGAAAGAATAAAGATTCGAAGAACTATAGTGGAATGCTGTAAACAGCATTCGCACTAATAAGGGGAAGAATAAAGATTTGAAGAACTATAGTGGAATGCTGTGGCACAGCATTCGCACTAATGACTTTGTATACTGCAGGGTAGCTTGTGAATTTACTCCAGGTGGAACTAAAGTCTGATTTAAGACTTGATTATATTTCACATCATTCATCCACATCTGTAAAGTAACTAAAGGTATTAAATACATGTAGTGGAGGAAAAGTACACCATTGACCTGAAAAGTCTCTGAAATTGTTCATTAGTACAGTACTTTGGTAAACGTACTTAGTTACTTTACACCACTAGATCTAGTTGACTTGTTCATATTAAACCACAAGGAAGCCACATTAGTGATTGCAGCACATGCAGCACTCCAAATACAAAGAGCTCATTCAAAATGGCCGACTCTTTCTCCCAAATGTGATGATATCAAGGAACTGCAATATGGGGATCAATCTTCTCAACTTGTTGATGTAAAACATCTGTAAGTACCCCTTCTAAAAAAAGTGAAATAGTTTTGGGAGACCTAGCCGACACATGCAGCAGCGTCACAGTGAGGTGTTTCTGTTTCTTTCAGGAAGGCTAAAATGATGAAAGGATGTATTAAAGTAGTGACACAAGAATGTATAAGTGTAACAAACTGGCGGTAATGCAGATATGATATTCATATAGCATTTTAATCATAGTTTTACCGGTTAATTGACTAGTCTTTGGTGGGAAACAGTGCGTCACCTGCTAGATGATATGGACGTATGCCTGGTGTGTAACCACCTGTAGCTAAATTGGGATTTGTGTATTGGAGATGAATATCATCATTCAATGTGTTTAGCTGGTTAATTCAAAGTGGACTTTTATTTTAATTAATTAATGAAGCAATGTGCCTGCAATAGGCAGTGAGGATACATTTTTCAACTTTATTTAATTTTTAGAAGGACATAAAGACTTATTTGACAAATAAAATGGTAAAATGTATACATGAGTTTAGTTTAATTTACACCAGGTGCAGTAAAATTAGTTTTATTTGTCAGTTAGTTGGTTGGCTTATTGTATATTGTTTGTTTGTTTTCTGTCTTTTTATTTTGTTGGTTTGTAAACCTTGCAAAGCTCTGTGTATGTACTAGGAACAGCACCAGTGTAGTGTAGCGAGGATAGTGAGAACATATGCTTGCAACCACGGGAGTGTGTGAATGTAAAGCATGCACGAGACACTCAATAACTCACAGTGTTGGACGTTGCACTTGGAGATGTCCACCACTCCCTTACACAGTTCCCCCAGTGGGTTGTCTTCCATGTCCTGTTTTAATCCACGTCACAAACACACACAGATTATTTTCAGTGTGCAGATGGACCTGGGTTTAAACTGTGAGCTGAACTCTACTCTCACCTGTTCTCTGGTGTCAGGTCTGCTGTTGTTGGATACTTCCTCTACATAGTTAGATGGAAAGAACTGCTGCAGCCTTCTACCTAAATCGCCTTTCCACCTGCAGGGAGTGAAATAAGGAGGAAGTGCAAATGAAAATGCATTACACAGGGGTATAAAGTTCATTCCTAAAATTTGGCAAAACTCATAACTGACACTGAAAAAACTGAAACATTTACTTTAATTAGAATAATAATGTATTACGTCAACACATTTCACATAACTGTATTAGGTTAGTTCAGGGGTCGGCAACCCGCGGCTCCGGAGCCGCATGCGGCTCTTTAAGCCCTCTACTCTGGCTCCCTTGAGCTTAGACAAAAATAAGAAGGAAATAAAATTAAAATATTTGTAGGACTATTTATATTTAATTGCACGGCTGAAAATGTTTGGTATCTTGTATTTTGAGGTGATACTGTGACACATAAATAAAAAAACGGTTTTAATTAGGTCAACTAAAAGATGCGTCACATCCTGCTACGGTCCCGCACCAGCGCCTTTTCTTGCAGGTGAATAACCTGACCCCCGGCTCGATGAGCGAACTATGGATAAATCAAAGAAAAGTATCGGAGGAACACAGAGGGTTTCATTCTGCGTGGTTAGAGTTATCTGCTTTCACAGCAAACGATGCTGGCTTACCGGTATGTTTGATATGTGGAGAGAAGTGGTCAAAGGTGCTGCAGCCTTTACGTATTGGAGGAGAAACACGGAAGAGGAAGACAGCTGACGATCTTCATCATAATTCAATCAGTTAACTCTTTTCAGGGTGCAGCTATAGGTTTTATTTATTTCAAAGTGGGCCCATTTGAATTATATAAATTATATTCAAATGTGCAGAGGACTCCCCAAGTGCTGTTTAATTCATTTTAAAGTAGGCCTGTGTATTTATTTGTATTCTCCTTATAAGAGTTATTTGTTTATTATTAGAGGTAAACAGTTTTCTATAATGTAATAAATAATAAATGCAAACAAACTGTAGTCTTTGTCTATGATACAACAATATATACAACTGTATAAGCTATCAAGCTATCAAATATGTTTTGCGGCTCCAGACAAAAATAATTGGTGGATAAGGGGGCAAAATGGCTCTTTTGGTCAAAATGGTTGCAGACCCCTGGGTTAGTTGAAAACAATAATATTAAGTTGAACCTAATATTTTTTATTTAAACTTGATATTATTGCTTTCTACTAACCTAGTACAGTTATGTGAAATCTGTTGACATAACACATATTAAAGTCAACGTTTCAGTTTTTCCAGTGGACTCTTTATATAGTCTTTTTATGGACTCACCATCCATCGCCATCCTTGGACACATTGTGTATCAAAGCTCCTTTACTGAAGCTGAGCTCATCCGTCTTCTTAGCCTGGTAGCTGTACACAGCCCTGACTGTACTCTGAGGCTAAAGGACACAAACACACACAACAAAGAAAGTCTTCATGAAGGGAAAACTGCCCAGGACAACACAAATTCAAAGCAGGAAATGTATGGTGGTGCATACACACCAGTGAGGGCTCGATCTCGTTGGGTTCCACGTATGTCTGCACGTCATACAGGGACGCACAGCCTTTCTCCTGCGTTAGCACACAGAGATGGGTAGCAGTTAAGAGACATACATTGAGCTGGTATTGGCCTTCATTTTACATTATCAGGGCTAAAACAACAACCCCGAGGCGATTTAAGGATGCATTGGTGGCTATTTTGGAAGAGAAACAACATGTTAACAGGCCTGCGTACATTGGCAGGCATATTCTTATTTGTATCAGTTTTTATCCATGTTAACAGTTGGAACCAAGAATGAAAATGTCAGTCGTTAAAATTAAAATATCTTAAAAACTATGGAATGGATCACCATGACATTATGAGCACCAGCTCGACAGTTTTGGTTAAGAGTGAAATAATAATAATAATCCATAATTATTATACACATCTTGATGTGTATGTTTCAGCCTCAGCTGTACTGTGTGTTAAATGATAAAACATAGTTCACTGGCTACCCGTAGAACTGAGGATCGAATTCAAGGTCTCCGTCCTCACCCACCAGTGTGTCCATGGAACTGCCCCTCCCTACCTCAAGGAACTCCTCACCACCCATACCTCCTTGCAGACCACCCGCTCCAGCAACTCCTACCTGCTCAAACCCCCCAGGACTAAGCTCCGTACCATGGGAGACCGGGCCTTCTGCTCGGCTGCCCCCAGACTGTGGAACGCTCTCCCCGACCACATGAGAGCACCACAGACCGTGGAGGCTTTTAAAAAAAGGCCTCAAAACCCATCTCTTCAAAAGAGCCTTTGCCTAGACCTTTTTACCACCCTTTTATCTTTATTTTTTTATTTATTTTTTATTGCTTTTTATTAATTCTACCGTGTTGTGTCATGTCTATTTATACTGTTCCTGCTCACTGCTTGGAGCACTTCGGGATTTGAATTCGAATATGAAGTGCTTTATAAATGGAACCCATTATTATTATTATTATTACTTCATCAAGAAAACCCAAACATTACAATACTACAGATAAACATCATTACATGTTACTTGTTAGACGCTTTTATCCAAAGCGACTTACATACTCTATACTGTGGACAATCCCCACTGGAGCACTTTGGGGTGAAGTGTCTCAGGGACACAACGACATGCTGACTGCAGTGGGGTTTGAACCTGTGCTCCCCTGATCCCAACACCAACGCACTATTCCACTGCGCCACACGCCTCCAGACATCATGATGTCAACATTTTCATTGTGAGCATGTTAGCATGCCGGTGTTAGCATTTAGCTCAAAGTACTGCTGCACTGAGGTACAGCGTCACAGACACGCTAACATAGCTACACTTAAACAGACCTTGGCCCAAATTTCCCTAAAACAAAGATAATTCTATGAGAAATAAGATTAACAGAAAACAAAATATCTGCCTTGGATGTGACATCACATCACAGATCTTGTCATTTATATAAACTCTCTGTTTAAAATAAAATGTTAAGGATTCTGTCGAAAATAAGTTTAAATGGTTTCGACTTCACAATAAGAACGATGGAATGAATTTGTTCTGACCTGTTGGTTAAGGGTTTGGTAACTCACTGTGCTGAATTGATCCACCAGCTTGGGGCTAACTGGGTAACGTAGTTTTATCTTCCGGTACAGCGGCTTCTTCTTGAAGTAGTTCACCAGCTCCACGAGGCTCTCAAACTCTGTGGTGGTTCCCAGCAGGTACATGTTGCCCTCCTTCTGGATACGACAGTGTTTCACTTTACCGTCACCTCTGAAAGAGAGAGAGAGGGTTAACACACACACACACACACACACACACACACACACACACACACACACACACACACACACACACACACACACACACACACACACACACACACACACACACACACACACACACACACACACACAGACACACACACACACACACACACACACACACACATGGCATGTAATGGCACTTCATATCAAAAAGGTTCCGACCCCTGCTATATCTGAACAATTTATTATAGGGCCATATCTTTACAAAACATGTCTCTGAAGTGTTTTGCTCAAAATACCAAACAGATCACCCATTGCAGCATGCCTCATATCCCTCTATTTCAGCCCTGTTACTAAAGTGCTGATTCTGGGTCTGTAGCTTTAAATGTAACCGAGCTGCTGCTGGCCACGCCCCTTTGGAGCCGCTGCTGGCCACGCCCCTTTGGAGCTGCTGCTGCAAGCAGTGAGCTCTGTGAAGAGAAGGATGTCTACCAGCAGAAACTCAGCTTTTACATCCGGCTTCTTTACACATTCTCTCCAGTACAGCGTTAGCTCTGAGTGTTAGCGATGCTTGCTAATGACACACAGACCATATTACTCAAAATTGTAGTTAAGTACTGTACTTGAGTAAATCTACTTAGTTACCTAACACCACTGCTTGAGAGACAAAAGTGTGTGTCACTGCACCTGAAGGTGATGGCGAAGGAGTCTGGTTCTCCCTCTCTCTGCCGGATGAGGAAAGCTCCATCCCTGGGAATCCTCAGCAGGTAATCCTCCGCCTGGCCTCGGCTCAGGTTACTGTAGAACCAGCTGCACACACAAACACACACACACACACACACACACACACACACACACACACACACACACACACACACACACACACACACACACACACACAGATAGATAGATAGTTATGATAGGTAAAACAAGTGTTCAGTCAGATGACAGTGGTCAGGCTTTGGCAAAACATGTGTTTTCCCTTTCATTTCAGTAAAGCATATTCAAATGGATTGAAAATGAAGAGAAAAATACACACGGGTGGGGTTACTCTCTGGGTGTATGAGAGTGAAAGTGAAAAAAAATACATGCATGCATTAACACCAAGCAAAAGTTGGAAGCAGATCTTTAACAGACCAATATAAAAGGAAAGTATGAAAACCATTGTACCTTCAAATGAAGCTATTTATAATATGATTACTTTAGGTGCTAATCAGTGGATTAGGGACATTCCACAGCCCTTGTTTCTCATTAAACCTGATCAAACACTGTATGATCATTCAATGGTTGGAATGAACATGACACTAGCATGGTAGCAAAACTGCTCTCCACCAGGGGGTGTGGTGGTCAAGTTGCATTGTGGGTAATGCAGGCACTTGTTATATATATCTGGTTCTGCTGCATCGATATTGATTCCGTTTTACAATTTTTTGTCCATCGTAAGTCTGACAACATTAGATGCTAACTTGCATATGTTGGGCAATTTTCACAATTACCATAAGTTGCGTTGATTAGCATCTAGTTAAAAAATGGCTTGACTGATTTGGACAGTTTTGTAGTGGTTTGCGGGGTTATTGAGGATGCTGAGTCCATTTCTGACATTTTCGTGATAAAAAATGGCAGTTTAAACCGGAAAGTGGTCACATTTGTGGACTGCTATCAAGGAATTTGGGGGTCAATTTTGAAGTTTTAGAGGACGCTGGATCATTTGGAGTGGAAAGATTGATTATCTATTTGAAATAAATTCTCCACAGTAGAGGTAATAATTGTAATCTTGTGCTCTCTTTATCCAATGGTAGCAACAATAGTCAGGCCATGGCCAATCCCTTGGTGCAGAAACCAAAACTGTCCTTATAGGCTATAATGCAAATGAATGCTAATTAACACTATTTATGCTAATTTAGCAAATTGCCCAACATATGCAAGTTAGCATCCAGCACCGTACTATACATTTCTTACACAAAACTTTGGGGTACTCAACATTTCTTTTGTTGTATTCAGAAAATATTGATATTGTCATTTATGTTTTTTGGATGTGAGTTTAACAGTGAAACAAACGTTTTTTCCCAAAGGGTTGTGGAATAAATTATGTGCTTTAATTTACAAAAATGATATCAAGGTATTTTTATGATTTTTAGCATGTGCTGTATCAGGCTGTTATGGCCTCACCCCTCCTGCAGGTGGGGGCTGGGCTGCGGCACGGCCTTAGTGAGGCGCAGCTCGAAGTCCTGGCAGCGCAGCGGGTTGTCTCTGTAGTGCTGGATCAGAGAGAACACGCTGGGGAAGTGCAGGTTGGGCGTCAGGAAGAAGTACGTGCGCGCCCCCTCTGAACCCGAGCGGATACGACAGTGCTGGACCCGCCCACTGCGCCTGGAACACATGCACACAGGTACTCTTAATTAAGATAAGAGGAGGATACCATCATTTAGTGTAGGTTGCTACACTGACTATGTACTTCAAACATACAGAATATTTTTTTAGACTTTTGCTCACATCCAAAACATGTTTCCTCATGTGGCCCTAATCTTCTTCCGTACCTACAACCCCCTCTCATACAAATCTGAAAAAAAAAATAATTCTGAAATGTGGTCTTTCTAAATTGGACCTTTGGATAAGGTGACCCCTGCAATGCGACAACGTATGGGACAAACAGGTTTCAGTTGGCCATGAGATGAAGAAGGTGTACGGCATGCAGTACCAGAAGGAGAGGGTGAAGTCTGTGACGTAGGTATCGCTCTGTCGCACAAGGAAGGTTCCGTCTGTTCCTCCGTTCTCCGTGCAGTAGTCCAGGATCAGCCGCTCGCCCATCTGCCGGCCCTCCTTCATGCGACCATGGAACCACGGCTCTGAGGTGTGCAGGTCCTGGTACTGAGACAACACTTCACGTTTCACATGTCCTCTCTGTAACTGTTACCTCATGTTCTTTGTAGGTAAATGATCATCAGCCTTATTTTCCACAGAACAAAAATATGGAGATCGTTTTTCATGTGGAAACCTTTCACACCTAAGCAGACAGGAATATCTCGTTCTGTACATTCGACCATCATAATTAACCAACCTTTTTTAACTATAATAACCCCCCCCCTTGAATCTACACACGCTCATTACTCCAATGATTCAATGTTGTGCAGAAAGTTACAATGTGCTCGCAATTCATATTCATTTAACACATGTGCTGCTTAGCCTTTGATAGGCTCAATGGTCAGTATATAATACCTCTGGGCTCGGTGGATAGCGCACAGGGGCGGACTGGGACTAAAAACCAGCCCGGGCATCTCGACCGGCCCACTTCGGTACCACTAGTAAATTGTCAACTAGTGACTAGTGACTTATCCGACCGGCCCACTTCGGTACCGGCCCATCGTCCCGAACGTCCCGATGGCCAGTCCGCCACTGATAGCACATTAACAAAGCTCATTCTATTTGAGTTAATCTTTTTTATTATTTTTAAGTTCTGGCTTGCACTCTTTTCTGCGATGCATTTTAGCCCTGCTTGCGTTTCTTGATACATTACTCACCCACTCATCAAATCTCAACTCATTACTGTAGCTCTACTAAATGTTCGAAAATCTTTATGATTGACACTTGGTAGACCTGTGGTATATTATATGAAACCCCTTAAAGTTCATTCTAAATGTAAAAACTGCATTTACAATAAGCTGGTAAACAGCAGCCATGTGTTTTACCTTCCTGGGGTCTTCGTCCTCCTCCTCGGTCTCCTCTGCGTAGTACAGCTTGTCATCAGAGATCACACAGTAGTGCCTGTTCCAGCGCTGAGGAAGGGACGACCACATGCTTAACATCCAACAAGCTGCTCAGATGGGAAGCTTTCTCAGCAACAGGCAATAGAGACATTTTAGAGACATTTTTCTTTTTCTTGATGTCTGTTTACTGAAATTGTGCAATGTATTTGTGCACCTTGTGTTATATTTAAAATCCATAAACAAAGTTAGAAAAGGAAAAAAATATCCTGCTGCAAATGTGTAGTGCTGGTCATGTGACTGTGACAATATCGCTGCTTTAGAGTTTTGCAATAGTGATCACTTTAATTATGATCATCAATATAAGCACTTTCCACTTTTTTTGAATTGATATTATGTATATTCAAACAGATCAATACAGATCATCCCCATGTCCTAAAGGAGTCTCAGCTACCTTCTCCATTCGACCCCCCCACATACCTGGTCCACAGGGTCCCAGATCTCCAGGTCCCCCTGCTTCTGCCCCTTCCTGAAGTCCTTACTGGTCCCCCCCCCCTCCACACTGAGCTTCTTGTGCTGAGAGCGGGAAACAAAGAGAGCGCAATCATTACAACCAACACACACACACACACGCACGCACGCACGCACGCACGCACGCACGCACGCACGCACGCACGCACACACACACACACACACACACACACACACACACACACACACACACACACACACACACACACACACACAGGGTTGGGAGGGTTACTTATAAATGTAATCAGTTACAATCACTAGTTACCTGCTAAAAAGACTCCAGAGACTGCTTTGGATATTGTTACTATGCAAGGACTCAAAGTGGTTACCTGTTATAAATACCTTGGTATCTGGCTTGATGATTGTCTTACTTTTAAACTTCAGGTCATTAATCTGCTTAAAAAGCTGAGGGTTAGACTAGGTTTCTTTTTCAGAAACAAGTCCTGTTTCTCTTTTGAAGCCAGGAAAAGGCTAGTCACTGTGACCTTTTGACCTGTGCTGGACTATGGTGATTTGATCTATATGAATGCACCTGCCCATTGCCTGGAAAGGTTAGATGCCGCCTATCACAGTGCTCTGAGATTTGTTACTAACTGTAAAGCACTTACTCATCACTGTACCCTGTATGCCAAGGCAGGTCTGCCTTCACTTACTGTACGGAGGCTCAGTCATTGGTACATATTCATATATAAAGCCATGCTGGGGAAACTACCGACTTATATATGCTCTTTGATCTCACAGAGAGTGGCAAGTAGCTATTGCCTGAGATCCCAGGATGTGTTCTTATTACATGTGCCAAGTGCTAGGACTGTTTTAGGTACTAAAGCTTTTATGTGCGCTGCTCCTCTAGCTTGGAACACTATGCAAAAAACATTGAAACTGAGCATTTTGGTTCCCTTGCATCATTTTAAAGCACGGCTGGATGAAATGTTATTAGATACCTATCACTGTGAATAGGTTGCTAATTTATACCCCTGTAATTATGTTGTGATGTCCTTTTTGTTTTCTGTTGTTTTTATGTGTAACCAATGTACCGCAGGTCTCCCTTGAAAAAGAGATCGTTGATCTCAATGGGATTTTTCACCTGGTTAAATAAAGGCTACAAACAAACAAACCTGTTCAAAAAATGTAATCAGTAACCTAATCTGAGCATCTCAATATGTAATGTAAACTGATGACTTTCCGTTACTTCTGGATTACCTCAATGTCAAATGAAAGAGAAAAGAAACATCAATAAGATGTTTTTTTAATTGAGTGTGTTATGTAAGAACGATGTGACCTTAGAAAAGAAGAAACCAAGATATTTAGGATCAGAATGATCTATAGTTAAACGCATGAATTAAACATCGATTTTTGTTTAATAAATCAGGTATACACCAACTGCAATAAAAAAGATGTTTAAAATAAAGAAGCTTAGAAGTAGCCTAAATGAAAACCAAAGAGAATAATGAAGCAGTACGTCTCCCTATGACAGGGGTGGCTCCGGAGTTTGGTATCTTGTATTTTGAGGTGATACTGTGACACATAAATAAAAAAACGGTTTTAATTAGGTCAACTAAAAGATGCGTCACATCCTGCTACGGTCCCGCACCAGCGCCTTTTCTTGCAGGTGAATAACCTGACCCCCGGCTCGATGAGCGAACTATGGATAAATCAAAGAAAGGTATCGGAGGAACACAGAGGGTTTCATTCTGCGTGGTTAGAGTTATCTGCTTTCACAGCAAACGATGCTGGCTTACCGGTATGTTTGATATGTGGAGAGAAGTGGTCAAAGGTGCTGCAGCCTTTACGTATTGGAGGAGAAACACGGAAGAGGAAGACAGCTGACGATCTTCATCATAATTCAATCAGTTAACTCTTTTCAGGGTGCAGCTATAGGTTTTATTTATTTCAAAGTGGGCCCATTTGAATTATATAAATTATATTCAAATGTGCAGAGGACTCCCCAAGTGCTGTTTAATTCATTTTAAAGTAGGCCTGTGTATTTATTTGTATTCTCCTTATAAGAGTTCTTTGTTTATTATTAGAGGTAAACAGTTTTCTATAATGTAATAAATAATAAATGCAAACAAACTGTAGTCTTTGTCTATGATACAACAATATATACAACTGTATAAGCTATCAAGCTATCAAATATGTTTTGCGGCTCCAGACAAAACAAATTGGTGGATAAGGGGGCAAAATGGCTCTTTTGGTCAAAATGGTTGCAGACCCCTGCCCTATGACATATTGATCTTTATTTTCAAATGTATTGTTGCATTGTAATCCTGCTATTAATCCCCATGTTTTTTTTTAATGTTTTTATTTATTTTATTTAATCGTTTATTTAGCAGGGACAATGCACAGTGATGAACACTTAAAACATTCAAATGTGTTAAGCGTAACAGTGCCAGATTTAGCTTTGATCTCATTTCCATCCGTCCCTTACATAAAACATTTAAGAAGTTTACATTTTACAAACATGGTAAAAACTAAATACATGATATGCAAAAGTGCAAAAGAGCAGCATACACAAGTATTTATGACATGGTAATACAATATAGCAGCAACGACATGTAACAGCAATCTGATCACATCTTCTTTTTGATGTAACTGTAAGGGAATACTGTTTAAAAACGTTTGTATCCCGATCACACCCATTACTCCCCAGTACCTTGAGCAGTGCTGTAAAGTCACTTACAGTCAACTTAAAGTACATTTACTCAAGTAACATTTTCAGGGATTTGAACTTTACCTGAGTATTTAAATGTGTTGTTACTGTGTACTTCTACTGCACTACATTCCAGAGGTACATGGTGTACTTTTACTCCACTACATGTATTTAATACCTTTAGTTACTTCACAGATCTGGATGAATGATGTGAAATATAATCAAGTGTTAAATCAGACTTTAGTTCCACCTGGAGTAAATGCACAAGCTACCCTGCAGTATACAAAGTCATTCAAACTAGCTGCAACTTTACCAGCTTTGAGAACACTTTCATGATCAATCATTATAAAACATATCATATATATTATTCTGAAATGGACCAATCTGCACAATGACTACTTTTACTGTCGCTACTTTAACTATATTTTGATGCTAATACTTTTCTACTTTTACTTGAGGAACATTTTGAATGCAGGACTTTTACTTTTAACAGAGTATTCCTACACTCTGGTACTTCTACTTTTACTCAAATACAAGATCTGAGTACTCCTCCTCCTCTGACCTTGAGTATGACCTTGCCCTTCAGCTGTGTGGGGGAGGGCAGCTGCTCAGCCAGCTGCTCCACAGGCTCCGTCAGCAGTTTGTCTCCGAACACGTCTCTGAAGATCCGGGCCATCTGCCGCTGCTGCTCCAGTGGACAGTGCTCCTCGATGGACAGGATCACCGGGAACCTGAGCCCCAGAAGCACAGGTATCAGGAGTTGGTGTGGGTGTGTGTGTGTGTGTGTGTGAAAGATGAAGTGAATCACAAATTCCCAGACATGGTGACAGTGTCTTGTGCTTCTTACTCTGACGTGACAAAAGCGTGATCGTTGATGGCTTTGACCACGTCCTCGAACTTGATCTTGGTGGTCCTGGTCCATCCGTGGTAGATGATTGGCTCCCCGGGCCCTTCCCAGCAGTCCACTGGACCAATTCAGTACCACACAAAGCACAAAGACATAAAGTATTAACTGTTATTATTTGACCCCACTTGTTTCATTAAAGCTGCTCCAAAATGAAACTAATGCTGACAATGCAACTCTCAAATGTGAACTTCTCTACATGATGGTGAGTTTACTGACGTTCCACACAGCGGCATCCCAGGCGCAGACAGCGAACATAAGCCTCCGTGGACGACTCGCTGCGCAGCTGATCCCCCGTCAGGTAGCTGTGGAAAACACACCAAAATGTTGTTCAAAAACCTCATGTTTTGTTGGTTACTCTGCTGCGGAGGGTGTCTGGGTTCTGTTTGCTTGTCTGTGAATAAGCAAGATATCTGGAAAACATTTTATAATATGTAACTAATAACTTTATTTTATGTGAGCAAACTATTGACTTTGCTAGAAATAACAGTTATAAACAAGTCATTTAAACTTTGGGTTGCCAGGTCATGAACAAACACAACTTATTTAACTTCCAATATATCAATTTTGAAGGTGAAATGCTGATAACGGAATTTTTTGATGCACTTTTTTGTGTGGGGAAAAATGAAAAAGATATGTCACTGGCATGAACAGTAAACAGGAAAAACATAGAATGATTGTGTGTGATTTCCAGCCACCACACTGACGTGTTGTGAGAGGAGCTGATCCAGTAGTGAGACAGAGGGTTGTTCATGTCCAGGTTGCTGATCTCTGAGTACTTCTCGTCCCACACAGAGTTCTCTTTGGAGAACAGGAAACTCAGGAACTACAAGAGGAGAAACGCTTCAAATGAACCTTTATACACTCATTTTTGTTGTGATTCATTCTAGTTATTATAACTTCAACAATAACGACCAAGTGATAAGGCTCTTGTACACCTCGATCACAGTCTGGTACAGCTTTTCATTTCTATCTCTGCTCCACACAACATGACGGCACAGACAACATGACGGCACACACAACATGACGGCACACACAACATGAGGGCACACACAACATGACGGCACACACAACATGAGGGCACACACAACATGACGGCACACACAACATGACGGCACACACAACATGACGGCACACACAACATGACGGCACACACAACATGACGGCACAGACAACATGACGGCACACACAACATGACGGCACACACAACATGACGGCACACACAACATGACGGCACACACAACATGACGGCACACACAACATGACGGCACACACAACATGACGGCACAGACAACATGACGGCACAGACAACATGACGGCACACACAACATGACGGCACAGACAACATGACGGCACACACAACATGACGGCACACACAAACATGACGGCACAGACAACATGACGGCACAGACAACATGACGGCACAGACAACATGACGGCACACACAACATGACGGCACACACCACATGACGGCACACACAACATGACGGCACACACCACATGACGGCACACACAACATGACGGCACACACAACATGACGGCACAGACAACATGACGGCACACACAACATGACGGCACAAACAACATGACGGCACACACAACATGACGGCACAGACAACATGACGGCACAGACAACATGACGGCACACACAACATGACGGCACAGACAACATGACGGCACAGACAACATGACTGCACAGACAACATGACGGCACACACAACATGACGGCACAGACGGCACACACAACATGGCGGCACACACAACATGACGGCACAGACGGCACACACAACATGGCGGCACAGACAGGATTACCTCACTGACGGTGAACTCGGGGTCGTTGGTTTTCCTCATGGTGTCGTCGATGAAGGTGGTCATCAGCTCTCTGACCTGGTTGAGGTCACTGGCCCAGGGTTCCTGTGGGGGGGGCACAGAAAGAAAGAAATCAAGACAATGGATGGAAAATCTGTGAGAAAAAATAAATAATCATGATTATCAATAAATGTTTAGAAAAGCATTGATTTACTTCTACATTACTGGTTGTACCTTTTCAAATAAATGATTTGTAACCAAACAAAGTGTTAAACCCTCTCCATGTAAACATACTTGGCCAAAAAAGGTGCATCTGTTCATATTAAAACTGGCAAGAGAAAGAAATCTTATGCTATAAACGTGAATATGGCTGTCACCGCTGCACCACATGACCTTTGTATACACTGACTTCCTACAGGACTAGCTGATGTCAAAAATGTAATGTCAACTTATTTTCTAATGTTCTTTTATTGGTAGTTCATTTGCGGGAAGAAAGCTCTTGCCATGTTGGAACACTCTGCTCACCTTCTGCTGGTAGATGAGGAATCGTTGGAAGTCATGGAGCAGCACTGCAGAGGCATCAGGCTTATCTGTGTTTCTGTAGAGAGCAGACCCCCCGTCAGCTCCCTGACTCACTCTCCTAACGCTTCACTTTACATCAGGGTTTGTTCAATATGTAGCAAGGATAAGAGAACAGGAGCTCACCCCAGAATAAAAGCACATGATTCCTTTTTGAACTCATCAAGGATCTGAGTTTAAAATATAATATGAATGAAAATCATGTAAACATGTATTTTGAATAATATATACAGTATATTTACTTATTGATTCAGACTCACCTCATTCTGTTCAAACATTATAAGGTTGTACAATTTATGAAACTGCTCAAAGTCCAGGCGATCTTTCTTTGCTCCCACTTCCTTTGAAAGCAGAACACAAAGCACTGATTGAGACTACAGAAGCACCTACTGGAATATTTATTACATTCCATATCACATAATGTCAAACTAGTCATTGATAATCTCTGATCAGAATGTAACAATGCTATTTTCCCTGTAGAGGAGATTGTCTTTCGGTTGTCCATGTGTATGCTGTCCATACTGTAGGTTCAATGGTGTTTATATAATCACACACAACACTGATGAGGACATGATGAGGAGGAGAAGATCAGAGCACCTGGAATTTGTCTTTGAGAGTGCGGGAGCTGGGGGCCTTGTAGTTGAGCAGAGCTAGCAGAGCCTTCAGCTCCTTCATGGAGATGCTGGGGAGGAAAAGAAGAAAGAAAAAAATATGATCCAACATTTATTCAATACGTGTTATTGTGTGTAAAGGTTAGGACCAAGGAAGGATTGTTATTTTTCAGCAGCTATACAATGCAAGAAGTTCCTACAGGTTGTGTCACATGTTTACATTTGTTTAGTTTGGAAAACGTCCTCAGAGCTATTGTGGCAGGGAACCCAGATCACACATACACTACCTGTTGGTTTTGGTCTGATTGACAGAGTACATCTGCTTCCTCAGCCAACTGCAGGGGGGGAAAACAAAAAGAGATCAATGACTGGATGAGTCTTCATCACTTTGTGAATGTGGAGGGGTTCATAGAAGTGTTGATGAGTCATATATCAAAAGCACTAGTTGACAATGTGCATGTTTTTCACATATAGTTCATCTGTGGCTTTAACATGTCACATATGTTTTGTGATGCAGATGAATGATGACAATTAGTCTTCCTCTGATGATCGACATCTGGTAACAAAAAAAAGCAGACGTGTGTGTGTGTGTGTGTGTGTGTGTGTGTGTGTGTGTGTGTGTGTGTGTGTGTGTGTGTGTGTGTGTGTGTGTGTGTGTGTGTGTGTGTGTGTGTGTGTGTGTGTGTGTGTGTACCTCTCTATAAGGACTGGAGTGGGAGCTTGCAGCGTCTCCTGCCTCAGCAGTTCTAGTCCAGTCAGCCATTTCTGTGCCTCGTCAACAGAGTCAGCTGCAAAATGAGCAGAACAGAAAGTGTAACTGTGCTAACAGATATATAACACTGTGAGGTGATATGAGGAGAAGAGCATCGGCTTTATGAGTAAAAAATACTTTCAGATGAATCATCAAGAGGAAGGTTGTTTGACATTTCAACACTTGACTTCCTGGAACAAAAGGTGAACTAAACACAAGATGTGGACATCACAGAGATGGAGTAAGGTCTAGCTTAGCATGAACACTGAACATTTGCTTTCTCTGGTCAAAAATGCTTCCTCTGTAAAAAGGGTTCACTAAATGGAGCTGGAACTTTTCCATTTACTAACAACATCTTTGCAATGAGATTGCCAGATTTGATACTGCAATTATAACCAAAGCTTGACTGAATCTGTGAGCCCGGGCAACAGATGCTCCATAGATGTGCAAACTCTTTTATGTGAAGAAAAGTTCCTTTAACTGCTGACAGGTGTGGGCCGTACTGCCTAACATCAGCTACAGAAATGGGTGCTAAACTGCCAAGGTCCTCCTAATTTGATCCATATAAGGATATATTGAGGATACATACTGTCCAAGTAGATCACTTTAATGTAATAAGCCCCATTGCCTCTGTCTGCCTGTCTTTATATGGTTGATCGTCTTTTGGTTACATTTCTGATGATAAAAGACTGGCAGTTGACGGATAAATAGACCAGTAATTGACCGCATATGTAGCTAAGTTAGCATGCTAATGTTTAGCCTAGCTTGTGACACTAGAAAGGGGTTTGCCAGATGGCCAGATGTTCTTTTAAGTTAGCTGGTTAGCTAGTAACTGCAGTTTTGTAGTTTAGAATTTGCAGTGAAATGTCAGGTGTCAAGTATTTGGAGATAATGGAGATTTGTTTAAATAATGTATTTTATAACATCCAACATAAATGTAACAATGACTTTGACAACAAATAAATCAGGTAGCTACAATATGAAATATGAAGAACGATACTCGTCATGTGATAGTTGTTGTTTAAAGCACACATATAAGAGCAGCTCACCTCCCACACTGAGGGTGTTGAGCACAAACTGAGATCCGTAGAAGATGGTGAAGCAGCTGCTCTCATCGTGCTTGTCTTTGCCATCTTTGAAGCGCTCAAAGTCCTTGGAGTTCCTCCCTGGACGAACCTCTCTGATCTCAAACAGGTCCACTGAAACAAAGCATTGGCACACACACACCCATGCACGCACGCACGCACACACACACAAACACACACACACACACACACCAACACGTCTGCTGTTTTTTTTGTAAACAGATGTCGATCATCAGAGGAAGACTCAATTTAATTATTCATCTGCAGCACCAAACACACGTGACAGTTCTTTTTCAGCTTCACACATTTCCAGCTCAACACTGTCCCTCCTATAGTCAGCGTTCTTTAGGGCAGGGTTATTTTCACACTTCGACGCAGTAGCCTAATGCTGGGAGGTGAATTATTATTAAAACAAACCTACATAATGTATCTTCACGGCTACATTACAAAGTCTTAGCAAATTAGGCTGTTGTCATGATGGAACTTAATCAAATACATTCCCTCTAAACTTGAGACGAGTCAGTGTCTATACTGTAGGTGAGCATTTCCTGTGGTTCATATCTTCACAGAAAGGCAATAAACAATATATATTGTTTTTATGGGAACTCATGCTAAACCCCACGGACCCGCCGAAGGGTCCGAAAATGCTACATCTGCTAGCACCAGTGTGATCTCTGAAGTGTCATTTATGAAACTATTAATGTTCCACACCCAGCTGACGGGAAGAAACTCAGCTAACTGACTATATGAAAAAAAAAAAAAAAGAATAATAATAATTCCCACAAGAAGCCTTTCAATGAGCCCTTAGCAAAGACGGACTAATGCTATTTCTGCTCATAACTCACAAAAATGATCATTTATAATTATACTTTCTGCACAAACAACACATCATCTGAAAGCTGAGATTCCACAGATGCCATGGGTATACACCCCATCACTGCAGGCAAGAATTCACTGAGCTAGCAGCCAGAACATAGCAAATAAACAACATCAGTTTTCAAATCCATGACAATAATTAGCAGGTTACATTTTACAATAATTTCTTTTCTTTTTTTTTGATGGAATGAATAACTATAGTGATGATTCAATGTTATAAAATGATTTTTACAGTCTGGTACCTGAAAAAGGTCAAATGGCACTGATGGAACCAGATGTGCCCAAATGTGCCCAAAGCTTAGTCCGCCTGGACTTTTTTTCCCTAAATATCTCTAAAAAGGTCAATTTTCACTTGTTTTGCCTCAATCTTGATACAGGGTACTTATTATATGTTATACTTTGGATTCCTAAAGCTTTTAGTCTACCATCCCATCATTCAAGGGTGGTTTTCACTATAAGTAATGGTTTTTTTTAGGCGGAGGTAAGAATTTACACTTTTTTACTATGTTCCATCTGAATTCACTCTGACACAGAAACATCTATATTGATTCTGACACTTCTACATCCATCTCACAGATGTAACCTTGCTTTGAGAAAAAGGATTATTAATTTAACCCTTTTAGAAGTGAAGTTATAGTCATTTGTTCTGGGCATGTCATTTTCGAGCCTGAAACCTGAAAAACAGGCTTGGGGTCTAACAGGTACAACCTTTTCAGAATTCATTCTGATAAGTCCTTTATATTTGGATGTCATTATGGTATGGATAACTCATATACTCACATAACTGTATTGTTATTTGAATGGTGGCTTGAAATATAAGAGGGGTGAGTCGAAACCTGGCCTCTATGGGGCTTTATTCTCCTTTTTGGGGCTTCCTTTTCCTCTAGTGTTTTATAAAGACTTTCCCTCCAAAGGGAGTTTCTCTTTTCACCTCTATAATAACTAATATCATAGCAGATGACACGGTGTATACATACTGCTTTGTGGATAATAAAACTTTGCTATCGACTATTGTAAATCCTTGTCGGCCACTGCTACTTTGCTCCAGGGATTTGAGCTGATTGGTTGGTTCTCCTAAATCCAGCTAGTGCAGCTAGCTTCTGTTTGCATCTCTGTTTATAACTGCTTCTAAGACTTGTGCCACAATACCATGAAAGTGAAGATTCTTCTGATTGGGGTCAACTTTAATGAGTGGAAAAGGTCAAATGTTGGCTAAAATGTGAAGTAACATGAATGTTTATACTGGCGCCCCTCTTTTAAAACATCGCTGTCGGCATGAAACAGTCATTGAAATAGTTTTATTTTAAACTTTCGACTCACTGCATCAACCAGAGGATGCATACAGTCATACACGGGCACAAAGAACTTAAAGTACCAAAAGTATAAGTACCTATTGTGCGTAATGTCAGATTTCAGAATCAAATTAAATGACTGGATTATTTTGTTCTATGCATTAAAGTGTTCATTAAAGCTGCTAAAGGTGCTACTTTTAATGACTTTATAGTCTGCTGCTGGATATGTAACCTTTAATTATACATCATCATTGATTTATTTGTTTATTTATATTTAGTTTAAGCTAATATTAACTTAAATCTGTAAAGTAACTAGTAACCATTTTCAAATAAATGTAATGGAATAAAAAGTACAATTTTGGCTTCCAAATAGTAGTGGAGAAGAAGTATAAAGTAGCATAAAATAAAAATACTTAAGTAAAGTACAAGTTCCCCAAAATCGTACCTAAGTACAGTGCTTGAGTAAATGTACTTACTCACTGCATTACACCGCTGCAGACACATGAATACTAAGAGGGGCTTTAAAGGTGGTCTGAAAAATAAACTAAGAAGATGTTAATAATATGTGTCATTGTTAGTGTACTCACAAACACCGTCAGTTCTATCCGCGGTGCGCGTCCAGGCCACCTGCCGGGTCTCCATGATGACCTGCACAGTGAGCCGCTCCGCCTTCTGCCGGAACACCGTCATCACCACGCCCATCTCCAGGTCCCGCTTTATCAGGATCTTCTTGTACTCTGTCATCTCGCCCTGCTGCCCCCAACCCGCCATCTCTGAGGCTGAGACAGGGGACAAAGAGACACTCATCAGTCCCTTCTGTTGTCCATAATGAAACAAACAAGCAGGTAGTCTATATTTTTTCAGCTGCCTTAGGTGTTTTGGGTCGAGTACACAAATTCTTCAAAAATGATCCATCAAAGATAGCTAGCTCCTGAGTAGACGTGAAGGCAGCTCAAAAAGGTGAATAAAACAAGAGGACACACATGTTCATTACAACAACCAGGATATCAGCCAACAAACTGTTCGGCCAGCATCTTCATATAGATATAGACACTGTTCAGTCACCCATTGTTTTGTGAACTACAGAATTTAATTTAACATTTCAATCATCACCCTCTTGGTCTTTTTGTGGACGGTGGAGCAAAGTACAACTGAACGCTGCTGGAGACAATTTGAGACGACCAAAATGTTACAATTAACTTCCATGAAGTCAAAACCCACTGTAAAACGGTTAAAGTTTTACAACAAAAATACGGACAAGTCCCAAACCCAAGCCCAGAACAAGAGCGCAGAATTACAACTTCATGGTCAGTCACATTGTCTTTAGGTAAATGAACTCCCTCATCACAAAACAATTTCCCTTTCAAATTTGAAATGGAAATGTTATACCTCTGTTTGTTCCAGGGATGTTTGGATTGTGGGCCCTCCCCCTGCAGCTGAGGGTCCGCAGAAATATCACATACTTTCCCCCACGTACGCAAGAGCTAATCATTTTAAATGCGATGTTAGAGCTCTGAAACACACGTTATTGTGACCGTGCTCTCTCTCTACTTCACTTCATGATATTATAATCACTCTCTTTTCCTCATTTCCATTCACTTACTTATTCTCTATATCAATCATTCATTTCATTCCAACAGCACACCATAAGTTCAGTGCTTGAAGATTTTGAGCGGAAAAGTAGAATAGGCATTGGTAAAAATAAGGATGGAATGGGATTGCCTTGAATGTACGATTGTTGCTATGGATACTGTCATGAGACTGGACAGAACTGTTGGATAAAGACACTGCAGTTGTAGTCCCCACTGCCTTACAGCAGATGTGTGTCAATGAAAATGTGACTCCCTATGCAACAGTGCATTTTTTACGACTGAAACGAATTAGGGCTTTGTAGTGCAGTGATGGTGTAAGATGATGTCATAAAGACGTGAGTTAGAAATAGTGTGGGCACACAGATGAGGGGAGAGTTGAAGGTCAATATCTAATATTTAACTTGCAAATGACCGGAGAGATATCAAAACAACACAGAGAGTGTTAATGTAGTGTTAATATTCATTGTCTGCCTTTTCTACACTGAAATATATTTGAAAAATGGAATATAATATACAATATGTTTTATATTTATTATATAGTATATTTAAACCTGAATCACAAAAACCAAAACACATTCTTGAATGTTTTGCATGGAAATGAATGATTAACAGACATTATCACACCACTGTTCCACTGTTTCCCCGGCAGAGACCTTTACCCTGCAGGGACTGTCCCTGTGAGATCACTGCAGCATTATTCAGAGCGGAGGTTTCCTCATACTGCATCACTACCTCACACACTGTGTACACTATGTTCATGTCACGCAAACACACACACTGTGTACACTATGTTCATGTCACGCAAACACACACCAGCTGCCTCAGGTAAACCTGTGTTTACATGAAATAAGGATGTGATGATCCTGTGTGCTGAACACCAACATGATGTTCTGTTAATGTGTCCTGAGATCAGGGGCGGACTGGGACTACAAATCAGCCCGGGACTCTCGACCGGCCCACTTCGGTACCGCTGGCCCACCTCGGTAAATTACTAACGGGGGGGGGGGGGGGGGGGGGGGGGGTGCTAGTGACTTATCCGAGCGGCCCACCTCGGTGCCGCAAGTGAATACCGCGAGGTAATTGTCGAGGGGGGGGGGGGGTGCTAGTGACTTAACGTCCCGATGGCCAGTCCGCCCCTGCCTGAGATACACACAGGAACAATCACTCATACTGTATACACCAGTACAACCCAAATACCAGTGTTGGATAGTAACAAAGTACATGTACTAGGGCTGCTCAATTAATCGTATTTTAATCGATTATGGCTTGCAACGATTACGAAAACAACGTAATCGAAATAAAACGATTCTTTTTTTATTATTATTATTACTTTTATTTTTATTTTTTCAAATACATTTTTTTTTGTATTGGTTTTTCAGTTGAATTATACTTAAAGTTCAGGGTAATCAAATGTTAAAAACATACTGTTCAAATTTTTTTTCTCCAATAAATGGATGTTTTCAAAGTAAATGGATAATCGTTTTTAATAATCGTGATATCAATTATTGACCCAAATAATCGAGATTATGATTTTTGCCATAATCGAGCAGCCCTAACATGTACTCAAGTACGGTACTTAAGTACAAGAATACTGTATCTCTTTTCAGCACAGGGGGGTACGATGCAAACAGCACACACATACACGCACATGCACACAAACAAACACACACAAGAACATTAAGACAGACTGTGTGTGCGAAAGAGCTAAAAGGATACTAAATATTGGATTAACTTTCAAACAGAACAATTAAGGCAAGGGGATGATATTCTGAGAAAAATATTTTTTGGACATTAAAGATTCACATTTATTATAAAAAAACAAATGACTTTCTTTGAAGCTATAAACTTTAAAGTCATAAAAAGAGAAGAACTCACATTAAAGCCGGAAATGTATGAGAAAAACTTTTTTTTGTATTTGTCAAGGAACCACATGGCTTTGTTTTGCGAGGTTGGATCAACCCCATCACACAAAACACGCAGATGCTTGCCATATATATAATTGTTTTAATTGCGTTTAAGTTACAAATACCAGTATTTACTTGTATTTTGAGGAGGGCCAGTCAGTGCAGCACATGTAGCTTGTGTCAGTCCCTCTACTCTATTTGCCTTTCGCTGCCATGCAATTTATGGTTAAAATCTGCCCAGGAATTATGGGAGGAAGTTGGGATCAAACTTGGTCATGTGATTATTTGCGTTAATCTTTTCTTTAACACTTTAAGGATTCAAGATGAATAGCAAGCGTTAACACGTTAATGTTAACAGGCCTGCAATTTATACTTTCCTATCAGATTTAGCACTGTGAAAATACTTGGTACTACAACATGGTTTTACAAGCATCCGGACTTTAAAGACACACAGTGGTTTTTTGGCCGATACACAAGCAAATACTATATTATTGGATGAGGACAACGTAATAGACAGATGCAAGAATATCCCTGTGCATACTATTAGACCTCCTCACTAACATGTGTGTTGGCATTCCCTGTTTACAGTACCAATGGATTCTCTGATAAGGTCGTTCCAACGTTGTAAAGTGAAGCCATGTGGTTCCTCTACCAGAAAAAAACTGAAATAGCTCAGATCTTTTTGTTTAAAAAAAGTTTTACCAAATGTTGCCCTAATAGAGTGGCGAAGTCCCTCCCTTTCCGGTGGACCTCTATGGGACCTTATTTCGGAAAAATTATGTATTGAAGTCAATGGAGAGAGAAAGATTATCTTTCGATCCCGTTTTAATTGTGCCACGAATTACACATATGATGTTTGTCAATTTAAAAGATCTCGCACACGTCACCAACACCAAGACGGCCGTCACGTTAGCACATTTCACCTCTTTCTTTCAGAATGAGGCGAAAAGTATTAAAAGAGGTGAAAATCACTCCAAGTCTGGGCATGTTGAGAGCTGTACATACACACAAGGGGAGTTAGTCGGTTCCGTAAGAGCCAGCATGCGGGACCGGCTTTACAAGGTTTCGGTGAGTAACACGAGTGTAATGTGTAACGTTAATGACATCACTTACGCGACTCTGGGATTTGTAGTCTTTCTAGTTGCGTATTTTTCATAGTCTTATATTTCAACAGTTTTACGACAAACTGTGACTTTTTTGACATGGAAATGATTTTTTAAGATTGACAAACATCATATGTGTAATTCGTGGCACAATTCAAATTCGTGGCACAATTCAAACGGGATCGAAAGATAATCTTTCTCTCCCCATTGACTTCAAAACATAATTTTTCCGAAATATGGTCCCATGGGGCGGAAGTAGAAGGGCGGGACTTCGCCTCTCTATACGCTGTCTCAGAAAGATGACTCAGAATGACCAATTATAGTGCTCAATGTCTGTCAACTACTTATCTTTAGCCATAATAAAAAGATAGGACAATAAACACGTCAGGAATGTTGTGTATCTCCGTGTGTTGTGGCTTCTTATGGCCAAAAACTGATTAATGCAGCTCTAACAACATTTCAATGTTAATTTCACCTGCCAAAAGGTTAAAGCAGAGGTCATTTTAGTACAAACCTTTTCAATGATACCATTGATTAAACACGATGGAAATGATCTATTAACTTCAGGGTCTTCAATACAATGAGCACACAAACAGTACCTGAGCTCTGGCTATAAGAGGTTGTTAGCTGTTGGTTGTAAGCTGTTAGCTGTTAGCTGTTGGTTGTAAGCTGTTAGCTGTTGGTTGTAAGCTGTTAGCTGTTAGCTGTTGGTTGTAAGCTGTTAGCTGTTGGTTGTAAGCTGTTAGCTGTTAGCTGTTGGTTGTTAGCTGTTAGCTGTTAGTTTCAGACAGGTTTTTATACTGACATAAAAATAGATATTAGAGACAGGATTATAACCAGGGGTTGAATTGGGCCAGGGCTGTCCACAAAACATATAATAAATGAGTGCTTACTCTGGATGTAGAACATTTTTGTTCAAAAGGTTACACATTGAAGTACAAGTCATGCATTCAACTAAAGCAAAAGTAAAAGTACTCATAATCCAATCTTACTATTAAGTCATATTTGATATGCCTTAATGTGAACATCACACTGTTGCAGTTGGTAATGAGGGTACATTGAAACAACTTTATAATACACACTGCTGGGCAGCTTAACCTACAATAATACATCATCATTAAACTGCTAATGTATATTTATCTTTTTAAATCTGCTTTAAGTTACAAGTCACTTTAGCTGTCACATAAATGAAGTGGATTGTAAAGTAACATAAAATGGAAATACATAACAAGTATCCCAAAATGGTACTTCAGTTTAGAGTAAATGTACTTCCACCTCTCATTTACATTTACATTATGATTTAACAACAAAACAAAAAACTGCAGTAGTTCAACATTATAACTATATTAAATGATGCATGTATTTATATTAGACTGCATTTTATTTGTAATGGATCAACACATTTATAACTGATATAACATACAGTATATAAATGAGTTTTATTAAATATTAAAGTGGACCTATCATGCTATATTTGAAAAATATATTGTAGGGCCATACCTATACAAAACATGTCTGTGAAGTTTTTTGCTTAAAATACCAAACAGATCACCCATTGTAGCCATGCCTCATACTGCTCACACCCCTCTATTCCAGCCCTGTTAGTGAAACGCGGAATTTGGGTCCTTAACTTGAAAAAACAAAAAAGAGGAGGCGGAGCTAATGCCTGATCAGAATTCTACCGGAGATAAAGTTAAATTCTGCTGTGATAAAACGCCATCCTGTTCTAAACCACATCAAGGATTATTTCTGAAACAGTATGGAGCTCAAATGCTTTTTCTCTTGCAGGTTTACCACAAGTTGAGTTCCTTTTTATATGTCCTGCTTTTTAAACACATGTGCTCTACAGTACAGGTTAGCTCTGAGTGTTAGCGAGATTACGTCCAAAACACGTCAGGCATTGATTCTGATAGCAACTTTCTGTGGGTCCGCCGCCGATTTTACGTCATATCGGCAGCAAATCTGTATCTGCTCGTTGTACCCCCGTTTTTAAAAGATTTGGGTACGGAGGAAAAGAGAAAGGGTTTTATTTTCTGACGCTGTGTGAGTTCCCCGGGACACCGGGGACACATATTTATGTATAAAAGACATAAAAAAGTGCATTTTGGATGATAGGTCCCCTTTAAGTAAAATGGTCACTCTTCATACCAAGCCCTTTTTGTTCAAAGGGAATTACCTTAAGAAATAAATATATAAATATTTTCTACACAGCTAGTTTGAATGACTTTGTATACTGCAGGGGCTTGTGAATTTACTCCAGGTGTAACTAAAGTCTGATTTAAGACTTGATTATATTTCACATCATTAATCCAGATCTGTAAAGTAACTACCTGTATTAAATAAATGTAGTGGAGTAAAAGTACACCATTTACCTCTGAATTGTAGTGGAGTAGAAGAAGAAAGGACCATCAAATGGAAATACTCAACTAAAGTACATGTCCCTTAAAATTGTACTTAAGTAGGCTACAGTTACTTTCAACCACTGTCAAAATCCGTATTCAGCATTAGGCCACAGCAACATGTGAGGATAGATGTGAGTGTGATGGGGAAACCAGCAAACCTCCGACTCCGATGGAACCGGTAGTAGCCTACTACACACACACACACACACACACACACACACACACACACACACACACACACACACACACACACACACACACGCTGCCGGTCGAAAGCGGGTTTTCTCTCCTCTTTTCGAACGGTTCAAGCAGCAGCAGTTGACCCGCTGCTGCTCACTTATCATTGTGATATAACAAAGTAAAGTCTGACCTGTGTGAGGTGGTCCTTCAGCTCTGTCGCCGCTTCTTTTCTATCTGATCATGGTTTGAAAGTCATGAAAGGAGCTGCAGAGGATGTAGAGTGTTGACAAAAAGGCCAGCCGCAAACCGGCCAGTTCCTCTATCTGTGTACAAGGAAGTAAAAGTTCACTTGCAATATATGCACAGCGACAAGTTATAAAAAAAAAAGGACCGGAAGCAGGGACGGTATCTATGCAAACGAGTCACGACTGTGCCTGTGGCACCGCAGAGCTCTCGGCTGAGAACACATTCATACAGAG